CGTTTTTATGCTAATGAAGCGTGGGAGATTTAAATCCCCGCTTCATTAGCAATTTTGGTATGTCTAATTTACATCCCTCTGGCTTGACCCCTACAGCTGCGATCTGAGGACAAACTGAAACGTCGGGGACTGTTTGATTGAGAGAGGAGACAAAGAAGGGGGCATGTGATAAAAGGGAGCAAAACACAGCATGGACTTGACTAGATTAGAAAAAGAGAATTGTCCCCAGCAAAGGAAAGACGTTGTTAAGTCTTTTCCCTGTTACGGGCACTTTGTCCAGTGACCGGTTGTTCCGGAGCTCTCTTCAACTCCCGTTCCACACGTTTGGCATCCCCACTGTCGTGTCGGCCCCAGGGCTGCGCACCGTTGTCGCCAGGGCCACGGTGGTTGGTTATGACACCTAGTACTACCCATTGCTGAGAACGATTGTGGATAAATCCCTGTGATGTTATATTTTGTATTAAGATCTTGTCCTTTTAGATCTATCTCTGGGAGGTGTCTTATAGAATCTCGGTCACATTTCTCCTAGAACTTTGTATTAAGATCTATAGATCTTGTAAGAAAAAATGACTTTTGAGCTCCCCCCTTTCCTTGATTGCCCTGTTGAAATGAATGAGGTGTGAATGGAGAATGAAAGGGGAGCACCTCCAGCAGCAGTTGCAAGGGTGGAGAAGGTCTGGGAGCCAGATCCAAGACAATACCTGCAAAGTGAGCTCATTAAGAAGACTGGACAGACAGAGGCCTTGGGAGTCCAGCAGCAAGAGCCTGCCCTTGGAAGAACTCTCTTTGAAGCAGCATTAAGAACAGCGAGGTGATGACTAATTGGCTGCATGAGAGGGATAAATAGGAGGCATCTTGCAGAGGGACCCCGGATTTTCGTCTTGTCAACATGGGAGCATCAATCCGGATCGGCAGAACCCCCCCCCCCCATCTAACTCACCTAGCCAGTGCAGTTAGGGGGAGCAACGTTTGGTAACAACAAGACGGAGTGTGTTTGTGTGTGTGAGAGAGTGCATGAGGTGATGTGTCATATGCATATGATAAGTATTGATTATTCTATGTGTGATCAATAAATGTGGTGTGTTGCCTTATCCCCCTGAAAAAGATCCCGAGTACTTCTTTTAAGTTCAACACGATCTCCTTTCTGAAAACACCACCTCTGGCCCTGCAGTCCCCTCTGTGCTTTGCCATTTTCTTAGCAGCTACTGGCTGATCCAGCTGGCGACCTCAAAATAGGCCTGGTTCAGACAGGGTTCCTCGACTGAGAGCTCAAAATGAAGGGCCGTCTGCACAGAGCAAGCAGTATTTCTGGGACTCCCTGCACTGTGCCGTAGGTGCTCATACAGGCTAGAGGCCTGTAGTACAATCCAGCTTTACCATAATAGCGACTACACTATGTATAAAGAATGCAATCCTGGATATAACACTACGATAGTATAAATCCCCCCTGAAATATGTTATCTGGTAAGGCAGGCAAGCAACTTAATCGTATAGGCTACAACCGGGCGTGTTTAGATTGGAAAAGCAGAGAGACACTAGGGACATAAGAGGGGCCGTCAAACACTTCCCAGGCTGCCAGAGAAAGGCGGCAGAAAGTTGTTCTCTCTTCCCACACAGGACAACTTTGGGGTTGGTCCTGCCTTGGGCAGGGGGCTGGTCTTGATGACTCCTGAGGTCTCTTCCTGCCTTGGGATTCTATGATTCTGTGACAGGGCAAGAGGGAATTGTCCAACTGCACAGCAAATGGAGATGAAGTCTCAGGAGAAACTTCCCAATGGCAAGCAGAGGGGGACAATGGGACAGATGCCTTGGGAGGCACGGAAGGCCCATTGCTGGCAGTTTTCAGAATGAGGCAGGACGCCCACCTATCCAGGGACGATTTAGACCAAACACGTCCAGCCTCTTGGCAGAGTCAGACTAGCTGGACTTTTTAGTCCCTTTTGACTCTGTGGCACTGTGATTCTACAATGTAAAATCTTAGTGGGGGCCAGACTGGGTCAGGGGCTCGATACGTGGATAACCAGGTGACACGTCATGGCCTGTGTCATACAGGAGGCCAGACTGGATGATGTCATCGTCCTTGTCACAGTAAAGCCTTGGAACAGGTCGATACAGGAAGTCGACCCGACGTTTGCATTTACGGTGCCTCACAGAACGGACACAAGGGGACATTTTCTGAAAGTGCCGTGAGCAGAAATCAGCCTGGCCCGTGTTGTTCCAGGGGGCCCTGCCACCCCCAGGCTTTCCAGCAGGGAAGTCAGCCAGCAGCCATCTCACCTCCCCGCTGAACAGCCAGAGCCTGAGATGTCAGACGGGAGGGTCAGGCTCTGTCAAGTGACACAAGGCCGGCTGCTCTGCTCTGTGTGTCGGTCTCACTCAAGGGGACCTTTGCCTTAGTGGGACTGGACCCAACTATGGGCCAGGGCCTCAGATTTTGCACATCGACTGACCACTCCCACCCTGCCGTGTCCCTGCACCATGGACATGCAGCCACCTTGGGGCTGGAGCGGGTGAGTGGGCGTAGGCAGGGGGCACAGAGGGACGTTGTGTGATACTGGAGCAAACTCATCCCCGAGGAGAAGGTCCCTGAATGTCTCTGAAAAGTAAATACAACAGACTCACCATCAGTTGTTGGCCCATCTGGGTGAGCAGGGAAGTTCTCAGGAAGAGACGGTGCCTGTGAGCTTCAAGAGAGAAGGGTCAGGCGGCTGCGTCCCCACCTCTCTGAGCCCGGCACTGGCAGGAACACGCCGTGCCGAGAGCTGGCAGAGGAGAGGGCATTCTTATAGCACAGCGCTGGGCCAGCCCAGGGGGGATCCCTCAGCCTCTGGGAGAAGCAGCATCTGGATGCAAAGAGGCTGCAGACCAGCCTGGCCTGGGCTAAAACAGCAATTAAGGGCCCTGCCCCACGGGAGAGGAGAACTCCTGGGTACTTGGCTGGGTCAGCGAGGAATTGGCTGCTCATCTCTGTATATTTAAGAATTCTAGTTGATTAGGGAAAAAAAACACCCCAGGGATGCGTTTCCAGAGAGTGTAATACAACAGGACACCCAGGAGGGATGGGAAGGCAGCAGACAGGCAGATCTGCACACACAAGACTGACAGGACACAAGACTTTCTGCAGGCACAAGGGCCTCTTGTTAAGGCCCCACAGATCCATGATACTCCCCAGTAACTAGCCTGAACCTGGGCAGCCCCTTCCCTTGAAAGGCCTTGAAATGACATAGGAAGGGCAGTGTGTCAGGGAGCTCAGATCCCCATTCTATGGATAGGTAAACTGAGGCACAGGGCAATGTGAATTGGCGGCAGACACACAGAGACTGAGAGGCAGGATGACAGACAGAGGCCAGGAGTCCTGACTTCCCTCCTACGTCTAAGTCTCTTTTTCATGCCAATGGGGAACTGGGCACCCACCTTGGTGGGAACCGTTCGTTGGGTGAGAGGCAAAGGAAAGGCTGGGAGAGGGAGGCTGAGTCTTTGCCATCCCTGCCAGGGGAATCTGAGGGTCTCAGAACCAGCTGGAGTGTGGGGGCTCCCTGCCCCTGGGAAGTGTGAACTCAGGGACTCCACTTGTGCTCCCTCTCAGAAACCGTAGTGTAGGGGGCTGGGCATTTTCACTTGGACATTGGAAAGGTGCAGGGGCAGGGTGGCCAGTCCTGGACTCATACACAATCCAGGTGGGGTGGACTCAGGACTGTGAAAGAGCAAACGCATCCCCCTCGGGAGAGGAATGGGCACAAATGCCTCCCCTACCCCTGTTCCCAGAGACAGACCCACAGAGGAACCCCAGAGTTACATAGCCCCTAGTCAGGAGGTGGCCAATGGAGAGGACACCCACCCCCATCAGTGTGGAGGTGGGGCCAACTGGCCAGCCAGCCACACTGGGCAGCACCTGTTAATGCCACACACCATGGCTGGAGCTGGCGTTACTGCAGATCCATACCTATTAAACCCAAGAAGGTAGAAAAAGGGAAGGGAATGCAAGTGAGTGGGACTTCCCCAGGGGCAGGCACTCTGCCCTCTCTGTTAGGCCTCCCCAAAGCACCAGAGCTCCTGCAAATCCGGGGCATCTGTCAGTGGCCTCACAGTGCCCCAGGGTAGTCTGTGGGGACAGGAGATCCGTGTGTGAGTGGGAGGAGTATGGGAGATGCAGGCAGCCCCCTACTCTGGGTTTACTCTTTGGAGGGCTGAACATGGCTTCCTTTCTCCCAGCCAGCCCCCTAACCCTGCCCTTGTCCCAAGCTATAAGAACACACTGGTTTTAAAGACGAGTGGGTCCAATATTTATTTAATTTTCTTTCTGTAATAGAGGAATTAGATACTGTGCTCCTGTCAACTCATTGCTAAGCCATCTACCAAAACAAGAGATTTCTCAAGAGCTTAAGTAGCCCCTGGAATTACACTTAAACTGGCAACCTCTATGAAAATCTGAAATGGCTCCTTTACTGCTCACGGCGAGAGGAGAGGAGAAGGTTAAGATGAAAAAGATCCAACCACTGACAAATGGAGATGAAAAGAGGAGTAAGTGACAAGGCAGGGCCTTGAGAGAAGAAGTAGAAGAGGAGGTGTTGGCTCATGGGTTTCATGTCTATCAGGAACTAGAACATTCACACTCAAGTATATTGTACATCAACTGATTCTCCAGTTCACCCTCCTAACACAGCACAGTAAGGCCACGAGGCGTACAGACAGTTTGGAATAGGAAGCCTAATCCGAACTATCTAGTTTGTGCCACGTGTAGCCGTGGGCATGGAGTCCGCACTAGCGGACATTTAAAAATGGCGGCGCCCGGCAACATGCAAATGAAGCCCGGGAAATTCAAATCCCAGGCTTCATTTGCAAGTTCGTATGACTACATTAACCACCCTAGTTTGAACTAGGGTGGTAGTGTAGACATACCCTCTGAGCATTCAGTAAGTGATTCAGAGAAAAAGGCACCACACCACTAGCAAGGTCTGCATGAAGCTTGGGCCGAAAGCCAGAGCCCAAGGAGAAAATGTTTAGGTTTCTTTAAATGTAAACAGTCGAAGCAACCTGTCCAAGATCTGTTTGGTCCTCATCCCATAGACGATGGGGTGTAGCATGGGGGGTACCAGGAGATACACGTTGGCGAAGAGAATGAGGAAACTAAGGGGCACGTTGTGGCCAAACCGGTGCGTGAGCGAGGAGAAGAAATCTGGGATGTACAAAGCTGAGATGGCGCAGATGTGGGAGCCGCAGGTCCCAAAAGTCTTCAGCCGGGCCTCCTTGGTGGGGAGGCGGAAGATGGCCCTGAGGATCTGAGTGTAGGACACAAAGATAAAAATGACATCCACACCGATCACAGAGAAGAGCACAAAGAGGCCGTAGTAACTGCTAACTCGGGTGTCGGTGCAGGCCAAGTTCACCACGGCGATGTGTTCACAGTACGAGTGAGGGATGATGTTGGTTCTGCAATAAGGCCACTGCCTTGTTACGAAAGGATAGGGCAGCGCGAGTATACCACTGCGCAGCCCCACAGCCAGGCCGATCTTGGCCACCACCCGGTTGGTCAGGACAGTGGAATGTCTCAGGGGATCACAGATGGCCACATAGCGATCCAACGCCATGGCCACAAGGATCCCAGACTCCATCGATGAGAAGCAGTGAATGAAGTACATCTGGGCAAGGCAGGCATTGAAATCGATCTCCCTGGAATTGAACCAGAAGATGCTCAGTGTTTTGGGCATGGTAGACGTACACAGAACCAGGTCAGTGACGGCCAACATGCAGAGGAAATAGTACATGGGCTCATGGAGGCTTTGTTCCGTCTTCACAATGAACATGATGGTGAAGTTCCCCAAGATGGCTATGACGAACATGGTGCAGAAGGGGATGGAGATCCATGTGTAGGATGTCTCCAAGCCAGGGATGCCCTGCAGGATGAAGGTGGAGGGGTTGGTGAAGGCACTTGTGTTGGAATCTGACATGGATCAGGAAGGAGGTGTCCAAGTGTGAGACAGAACGGAGTGTCTTGTATGTACCTTACGTTCCTCTGACATCCTGTATGTGCCCTGGTTGAGGGTGATGGTCATGGCACAAATACCTGCATGGAGAGACAATGTTAGTATGACACACAATATGCCCTGCAGATGGCTTTTTTATGAGTGAAGAAGACTGCTCTTTCTTCACACTGAAAACTAACATTTTTGTCATTCAGACAAAATAATTATAAACAACTGTCCCTTCTAATGCCAATTCCATATCTTATGGTGCTCACTGAGTCATTAATTCCTGCACCATGTGGTGGGGAAAAACTTCTAAGGCACTAGAAGGAAACATGAGTGTGGATACGGGGTCTCTGTTAGGCTTCCTTAATGCAAGGAAAACCAGGCTACGAGTCCCTACTATTGGAAGTTATCCATTCATCCAGTTACTCTAAATGTAAGAGTGGGGGGAAAATCAAATCTTTGCTAAGGTATGTGTTGGGGGAACCATCCGAAGTAGACCATAAATTAGGGAAAAGACCTGATGTCACAGATAGAAGCTTCAGGAAACACCTCCCCATTGGCAGCAGAGGCAAAAACGAAGACAACTTTTGGCTGCCTAAGGAATGGGATGGAGAAAAACGTGCCATCCCGAAAAACATGGATATCTGCTCAGTGTTGGACTCCCACTCTCCGTATAGGACACAGCCGGTAGAAAGGTGATTTCCAAGAGAGGTGGTGAGAATGGGGGAGGCTGCCATTTGTGGGCAGACTAAGAAGTCAGGGACTGTTTCACTTAATGAAAAAAAAAGGGAGCATATGATAGAGGAGAGGAAAATTGAAGAATGAAACCAACTACACTCAAATGGACAGACAGAGTACCTCTCCAAACCAGTACTGTCTACAGACGCTCCATGCTCCACAAGGACTAATTCTGCAAACCTGGAAAAATTATTTGGAGAAAAACATTTAGGCTACGTCTAGACTGGCATGATTTTCCGGAAATGCTTTTAACGGAAAAGTTTTCTGTTAAAAGCATTTTCGGAAAAGAGCATCTAGATTGGCATGGACGCTTTTCCGCAAAAGCACTTTTAGCGGAAAAGCGTCCGTGCCAATCTAGATGCTCTTTTCCGCAAATTCTTTTAACTGAAAACTTTTCTGTTAAAAGCATTTGCGGAAAATCATGCCAGTCTAGACGTAGCCTTTCAGTTAACATGTAGGCATAATAATACACCTGATTTTGGCAGAGTAGTGGTGTGCAGGAGAGGTTTTTGTAACAGAAGACAAACCTGATAGAAAGCTTATGCTATATTTGAACTTAGTCAAAAGGATGAGGACAAAGAGATGTTAAGATCAAGGTCACAAGTTAAAAATTTGCAAATTGCTATCCTGAAAAGCAGGAAGGAAATGTGATAATTCTTTGACTCACGTTTATTAGAAAGTGAAAAGTCCCACTTCCACGGTCAATGGAATGAACAATGTTCAGTAATAAGTAAGTTCGATGGGAAAGTGAAGGCATCAGTTAAGGAGGGGAAAATAATATATAAAAAAGAGGCAAAGGGAAAATAGATGGCCAAGAATACAAGTCAGAAGTTACAAAAATTAATAAGGAATGTTAGAGATATCAGGGGAAACTCCATGCTTGACAGGGCTAAGGATTGTAAAAAGGAAGCGGTTGCATATATGAAGAACAAGAGGAATCCTAGAAAAGCGTTATGGCAATTCCTCTGTTAATCATAAAGTATTAAAAAAAAGCCAAGGTTTAAAAAATGATTAGGTTAAGAAAGAATGGAAAAATTGCTATGGGGTTAGTTCCGAAAGAAGTCTAGACATATAATAAACAACAGGGCTTGTATAAAATAGGATTTGTCAAATAAACCTGATTTCATTGTTTTATTAGAGTGAACATTTGGTTGATCAAGGGAACTGCTCAGTTACTACAAACATTGCTTTTTCCTGAAGCATTTGATTTAGTAGAAGAAAATACTGAGATATAAGAGTAATACTCGACCGTAACAGTAGAACCCATATAAAATGTAATAAAACCAGCTGACCGATCTCAGAAAGCCATTGTCACTGGGCCATTGTCAGCGAATGGGCTGTTTCTAGTGGGGCTTTGCACAGAGCCATTCTAGGCCCAATGCTATTAGATATTTTCATCAATGATCTGGAAGGAAACAGAAAATCATTGCAGATAAAATTTGTGGACAATGCAAAGACGGGCGGAGGGGTTACACTCAGATGGTTTTAATAGAGTCAAATGCAAATATCCCCTTGGAACAGGGAATGTGCATACTGGAGCACTATATGATGGAAGGCAGGGACCCAGAAAAAGATTTGTCCCATCATGAGCTCTCACTGTACTACTGTAGCCAAAAGAGCTAACGTGATCCTTGGATGCATTGGCTAGGGAGCGCTGAGTTTGAACCGGGAAATGATTTTAACCTCTCCACATGAGCCTGGGGAAAGCACCAGTATCAGTTCTGGGTTGCACATTCGATAAAGGATATCGACAATTTGGAGAGGGTACAGGAAAGAGCCACAAAAATGATCAAATGCTGGAGAGAAACACCAGGCTGTGCAGGTATAGAAGGACTTTTATCTGTGTAACTTATGAAACGGACGATGAAGTGGAGACTTAGGAAAGAGAAAACCATGGGTACTAATGGGCTGTGTCATCTCACAGAGAAAGACCAAGCGGATGGAACCTGAAGCCAAACAGATTCCAGATAGAAATAAGGGTCCCGTATTTAGCCGAGGGAGATTAACCTTTAGAACACACTGTGAAGGGAACCGGTGGATTCATTAACTCTCACATGTTGGAAGATCCAGACTAGATGTTTTTCTGGAAGATCTGCCAGAGGGCTTCTCTGCACCTGAAATACTACAAAATCGCTTCCATAGTTCTCCAGGGGCGACTCTAGTTACACTGATGGCAACAGCTGAATCGTTAGCTGATTGTTCCACCTACCCAAGAGCGGGTAGCTAGATCAATGGAAGAATTTCCTCGTGGTGTCTACACCAGGGTTAGGATTATAGGGTGTGTCTAGACTACAGAGTTTTGTCAACAAAAGTGGACTTTTGTCGACAAAATTATACCTGCGTCTACACTACCGCTGAGTTCTGTTGACATAACGTCGACAGAACTCAGCAGTTTTGTCGACTCTGGTAAACCTCATTTTACGAGGCATAACGCCTTTTGTCGACAGAGTTCTGTCGACAGAAGGTGTTATTGCATCTAGGGGTACGTCTAGACTACAGGCTTTTGTCGACAAAGCAGCTTGCTTTGTCGACAGAACTGAATGTAGTCTAGATGCTCTTTGTCGACAGAAGCTTTGTCGACAGTTTCTGTCAACAAAACTTCTGTCGACAAAAGCCTGTCGTCTAGACGTACCCATAGAGTTGTGACAGACCTGCCCCCCGTTCTTTTTGACATTGACTTACAGCTACAAAATAGGGGGAGGGATAACACAGTGGTTTGAGCATTGCCCTGCTAAACCTAGGGTTGTGAGTTCAATCCTTGGTGACATTATTTAGGGATCTGGGGCAAAAATCTGTCAGCAATGGTACTTGGCCCTGCTGTGAAGGCAGGGGACTGGACTCAATGACTTTTCAAGGTCCCTTCCAGTTCTAGGAGCTAGGCAATCTCCATTTATAAAAAAATCTGCTGGATCTGTGTATCTTATTTTGGTGCATGTATCATGCTTTTGTGTAAATTTAGAGATATGGAGTATGGGATGGATTGTAGTTTCCAGTGTGCAAATGAAAACCATCCAGGGTGTTTCCCTCAATGTCTGGGGGATCAACAGCCTCTTTTGTCCTGTAAGTCTAAGCAGGGGTTGGTCTTAGGAAGACATGTGACCACCCCAATGGGTAAGGTCTGACCACGTACTTTTCCAAGGAAAGGGAGCATGTGAAACAAAGAATTCCCGCCTATAAGGGAGGCTATTTAAGATGCAAAGTCTTCAAGCCCTTGCTCTTTGTTCATTATGTCATTCCCAAGAAAATTAAACAGCGTCCACAGGGAAAAAATGATCTTGGCTTGGAGGTTTAGCTGAAATTAGAACAGTTTTCGGGTAGGTTTGTAATACGCTTTAGGGGGTTAGAGCAAGCTCTGCATTTTTGGCTATTTTAAGTTTCTAATTCACTTTGCTCTGCCTGTTTTAAGTTGCAGCCACTGAAACCCTGCGCTCGTACCCAATAAAATCTGCTTACAGGAGATAAACAGCCAAGTAACAGCCCCACACTCCTAGCAGCTGGATCTGCGAGAGGACGAGGTGACCGTGTCTGTGCAGGAACACACAGCTGGCTCGTGAGGCTCTTACTCTAAGGGGAGTTTTGCCTCACTGGGGTCGAAGCAGAGCACGAGCCACAACATCGTAATTTGTCCTCGCATTGGACACCTACTAATCCCCTTCATCCTGCAGGATCCCCTGTGCCCCAGAAATGCCGCTACCTCAGGGGGCCACCACACGGGGTGGGAGGTGGAGCGCAGAAGGGAATGAATTTTTGCCAGTGAGACTGGAGCACACTCGTGGCCTAGCAAGACGCTGAGATGGTTAGTGGCTGTGCAGAGCGGAAAGGACACAGAGCGATTCTGTCTGATAAGGCCTGTGCTGCACTGGGCTTGTCATAAGAACATAAGAACGGCCGTACTGAGTCAGAACAAAGGTCCATCTAGCCCAGTAGCCTGTCTGCCGACAGTGGCCAACACCAGGTGCCCCAGAGAGGGTGGACCAAAGACAATGATCAAGTGATTTGTCTCCTGCCATCCCTCTCCAGCCTCTGACAAACAGAGGCAGAGGACACCATTTCTATCCCCTGGCTAATAGCCTTTTATGGGCCTAACCTCCATGAAATTATTCTAGCTTCTCTTTAAACTCTATTATAGTCCTAGCCTTCACAGCCTCCTCTAGCCTGCCGACAGTGGCCAGCACCAGGTGCCCCAGAGAGGGTGGACCGAAGACAATGATCAAGCGATTTGTCTTGTGCCAGCCATCTCC